GCTGCTGCTGCTGCTGCTGCTGCTGCTGCTGCTGTTGCTGCTGCTGCTGCTGCTGCTGTTGCTGTTGCTGCTGTTGCTGTTGTTGCTGCTGCGGGTTCTGTTGCTGCTGGGGCTGCTGCTGCTGCTGCTGCTGTTGTTGTTGCTGCTGCTGCTGTTGCTGTTGTTGCCGCTGCGGGTTCTGTTGCTGCTGATGTTGCTGTTGTCGCTGATGCTGTTGCTGTTGATTCTGATGCTGCTGATGTTGCTGTTGATTCTGATGCTGCTGCTGTTAATGCTGTTGCTGCTGATGCTGGTGCTGTTGCTGCTGATGTTGCCGTTATTGCTGCTGCTGGTCCTGTTGCTGCTGCTGTTGATGTTGATGCTGCTGCTGTTGCTGCTGCAGTGAATGCTGTTGCGTCTGGATGACTGTAATTGTTTGTTGCTCATTTGCTGCTGCTTCTGCTGCTGCTTCTGCTGCTGCTGCTGCAGGAGACACCCGCAGCTTTCGAACTCCCGCTGTCCCCAACAATTCATTCAACCCTCGGTACGCCGCTGCTGCTGTTGCTGCTGCTGCTGTTGCTGCTCTTTCTTCTGCTGCTGCTGTTCTTGCTGCCGCTCTTCTTGCTGCAGTTGCTGCTGCTGCTGCATGGATAGCAGTAGAGTGTAGCCGCCCCGGTGTACGTACAGCAGCTAAAAGGAGACAGAAGCATTTGAATAAAGAAACAAACAAAGACGAAGAGAGACCGAGACAGCAGCATTTTAATAAAGAAACAGAGACAGAGACAGCAGCATTTAAATAAAGAACTAAACCAAAGGAGACAGCAGCATTTAAATAAAGAAATAAACAAAGACAAAGAAACAGATAATCCCCCAGCAACGTTCACCTCTGCTGCTGCTGCTGCTGTTGCTGCTGCTGCTGTTGCTGTTGCTGCTGCTGCTGCTGGTGTATATTTGGGGTGTATATGCAGGTGGGGTGACGACGAGTCTACGTTTGAATTTGTCGTGACGAACCCCTCTCTTGCTCTTTTACTTTTTCGCGTTTACTCTTCCGACGTCAGACCCTCTCTTCGCTGCTTCTCCTGCATGCCTCTAGACGCCATTCGCCCAGGGTAAATATAATATATATATAATATAAGTATTAATATATCAATATATTAATATATATACATATAGATGTATATATATATAGATATAGAGGTATATATATATATATATAGAGGTGTATATATATATATATATATACACCTCTAGACGCCATTCGCCCAGTGTATATCAATATAATAAATATAAATATATATATTTAGAGATTTATATATATATATATATATGTATGTATATACATATGTATATATATACATATACATATACATATATGCGTGTGCGTATGTAGATATATATGTATATATACATGTATACAGAGTATAGGGTTTCGAGTTTAGGGTTTAGGGTTTAGGGTTTAGGGTTTGAGATGTGTTTGCTTGTTTGCCAGATTCATCTTTTCGGGTGTATATCATTGTTTGTTGTTTTTAATTTTATTTATTTTTATTTATTTTTATTAAGGGTTTAGGGTTTAGGGTTTATGCTAATTAGGTTTGTTGTTCTTCGTTTATAGTTATTAGAGTATTTATATGTTAATATTGTGTTTGTTTAAAAGATAAAGAGACAGAGATAAAGATACATACCTCTTGTTTGATTTATTAATATTGTTTTATTTATTATTAGGGTGTATGTACACCTCAGGCTACGCTGGCTTCCAGTGTATGATAGTCTCTTCCGCCCCGTTCGTTTCTCCGGCATTTTAGTATTCGCACGAATACTCAAAGTACCACAACCAGGTACTAGGGTTTAGGGTTTAGGGCTTAGGGTTTAGGGTTTAGGGTTTAGGGTTTAGGGTCTGGGGTCTAGGGTTTAGGGTTTAGGGTTTAGGGTTTAGGGTTTGGGGTTGAGGGTTTAGGGTTTAGGGTTTGGAGTTTAGGGTTTAGGGTTTAGGGTCAAGGGTCTAGGATTTGGGGTTTAGGGTTTAGGGTTTAGGGTTTAGGGTTTAGGGTTTAGGGTTTGGGGTTTAGGGTTTGGGGTTTGGGGTTCGGGTGGAGTGGGTATATAGGTTAGGGTTTATGGTTTGGGATAAGGGTTTAGGGTTTAGGGTTTAGGGTTTAGGGTTTAGGGGGCATTCTCAATATGATATCTCTGCTGTGATTCAAATTGTTTCTGCTTTCCCTATTAATATTATTGTTGCTGTTACTGCTGCTGTTGCTGCTGCTATTACTTATTACTATCAAACTCTAAACCCTAAACCCTCTGTTTAATGCATGCGTTTGCTGCTGCAGCAGCCTCACCCCAAGACACCCCCGGCGTTGTTCCACCCCCGTCGGAATCCTCCGTCAAGTGAAGTGCAGCAGCAGCAGCAGCAGCAGCAGCAGCAGCAGCAAATGCTGCTGCTGCTGCATCAGCTTCAGCAGCTACAGCAGGTGTGGCGGTAACTGCAGCGGCGGAAGCGGCAGCAGCAGCAGCAGCGGCAGCAGCAGCAACAGCTGCTGCTGCTGTCGGAGTCTTCACTTCTCTGTTTATCGATTTCTGGTGTACGTACAGCTGGTGAGGGGTTGAGCATCAGCAGCAAACGCCGCTGCAGCAGCTTGCTGCTGCTGCTGCTGATGCTGCAATTTTCGTGTACAGGTGTATAGGCAGTAAGCAATTCTTTGCTGTGTATGCATGCGGGTGTTTGCTTTCGGTGTACGTACACCAGAAAATCTTAACAACAACCCCACCTACAGCAGCAGCAGCAGCTGCTGCTGCAGCAGAAGCAGCATCAGCTGCAGCAGCAGAAGCTCCAGTAGCAACACCAGCAGCGGCAGAAGCAGCAGCAGCAGGTAGCAATACCAGCGGAAGCAGAAGCAGAAGCAGCAGGTGCAGCTAACAGCACCTAGCTGCTAGGCGGCAGCAGCAGCAGAAGCAGCAGCAGCTGCAGCAGCACCAACGCCAGCAGCAGCAGAAGCTCCAGCGGCGACACTAGCAGCAGCAGAAGCAGCTGCAGCAGGTAGCAGTACCAGCAGAGGCAGCTAGCAGCAGCAGCAGAACCACCAGCACAAAGCTGCTAGGCGGCAGCAGCAGCAGCAGCAGCAGAAGCAGCAGCAGCTGCAGCAGCAGAGTTGATAGATTGTTGGGTGTATATTTTGCGTAGAGTTATTAAAAATAATTAACTCGCCTCTGACTTTGATTATTATTTATTTATTATTTATTATTTATTATGAATTATAACTATTTTTTATTTTTTATTAATTATTGCTTTATTATTTATTATTATAGCTGCTTACTATTTATTATATGCATAATAATAATTATTATTATATATTATTTGTTGCAAGCAGACAGCGAATGCGGCAGTTATTATGAATAACACAAACAATGATGCTGCTGCTGCTGCTGCTGTTCCTGCAGCTGCTGTTGCTGCTGCTGTTTCTGCTGCTTTGTAGCGGGTGCTGCTGCTTTTGCTGCTGCTGGTGCTGATGTTTTGCTTGGTTATTAGAGTTAGTTTCTTTTTAATTTATTTATTTATTACCCCGAACAAAGCACAACGCCAAATGCGTATATATATATATATATATATATATATATATAGATGCTCGTAGAGATAGCTATACCTATATATATAATCTACATAATATATTGTGCAGGTAATAAAAATAGCAAGTATTTGTTTCGTATAATTATTTAATATATGTATGCATATCATATAAATATTTAGGGTGTAGGGTTTAGGGTTTAGAGTTTAGGGTTTAGGGTTTAGTTAGTTAAAGATGAAGCAGGAAAACCCCTGAATGCAGAGCGCCTGCTGTATTTAATCCAAACATTGAATAAAATTAGAGTAAAAGAAATTTAATTAAATTAAATTAAATTAATTAATTAATATAATCTAAAAAAATAATAAACTCACGAGAAGCTGCAGAAAGCTGCAGCGCATCGATACGTCTGCAGTTCTTTCTTTGCTTTTTGTTCGTTTTATTTTTATTTAATTCCTATTTAAAGTAGAAGCCCATTAAAATAGATGCAGCAGCAGCAGAAAAACAGCAGCAACAGCAGCAACAGCAGCAGCAACAGCAGCAGCAACAGCAGCAGCAGCAGCAGCAGCAGCAGCACCAGACCAGAGGTCCACAAGGGGGCCCCTGGGGCCCCCCAGCGTTTCTTTTTGTTTTTGTTCTTGAGTTTTGTTTATTACATTTATTTATTGCGTTTATTATTTAAAACAAATTTAAACAGAGAACTTTGCTGTTTTGCAGCTCCCCTCAGCTTCGACATCGATTGCTCGCACCACAGCTAGATGAAACCCTAAAGCCAAAGCCCTAAACCCTAAACCCTAAACCCTAAACCCTAAGCCCTAAACCCTATACCCTAAACCCTTTGCAAGTCGTCGTCTTCCGTTTGTTGTTCTGCTCTTCGTTGAGGGTTTAGGGTTTTCATTCACTGTCGGCAGTATTCAAGCCGCTACAACAGCAGCATCGGCTCCCTAACCCTAAACCCTAAACCCTAAACCCTAAACCCTAAACCCTAAACCCCGAAGCGATGGGGGAGGCTGGAGGGGGGGGTTCGGGTGTCTCTTGGATTACGAATCCATTGAGTTGGTTCTCGCAAAGCAGCGGGGTAATATCTGGTGCTGTAGGTCAGCAGCAGCAGCAGCAGCAAGAGCAGCCACTGCAGCAGCAGCAGCAGCAGCAGCTATTAGAAGCAATTGGATCTTCAGGTGGATATGCTTTGTCTCTTCTACGTTCACTGGGAGACCCTTCTTTTGTATCAGCATCAACAGCACCGTTATCATCCTCAGCAGCAGCAGCAGCAGCAGCAGCAGCAGCAGCAGCAGGAGCACAGCGGAGACGCAGCAGAGTAAAGATAGGAACACGAGTTGATGGTGGTGCTTTTCATTCAGATAGATGTGCAGACCTTAAAAATATTCACAAGTTTGTTTTGCAATTAAACAAAAGAGCAGCAATAAAGCAGCAAGGAATTAACTTAACTGATGAAAACTCAGGTGTATGTACACCTGAAGATGACCCTATACAATGTGGCGGCATCATTGCATTCAATAGAATACCAATTCATTTAAAAAATAATAATGAAAAGCTCACAGTTGTCGAGTCGCCGGTCTCAGGTATGCAAACCCTAAACCCTTAAAACCCTTTCTTAGGGTTTATTAGGGTTTATACTTATTATTAGGGTTTTGCTTATTATTTATTGTGAGGGTTTATATTTATTATATACTTATTATTAGGGTTTTGCTTATCGTTTATTATGTGGGTTTATATTTATTATATACTTATTGTTAGGGTTTTGTTTATTGTTTACTATGAGGGTTTATATTTATTTAGGTTTTGTTTATTATTTATCATTAGGGTTTATACTTATTATTGCGGTTTAGGGTTGTGTTTAGTGTTAGGGTTTCTATTTGTTAGGGTTTTCTTTATTATTCACCTCAATATATAAACCCAAACTCTCAAACCCTAAACCCCAACCCGAATGCATAAACCCTAAACCCTAAACCCTAAACCTCAAATCCCAGCCTCTAAGCCCTAAACCCTAAGCCCTAAACCTCAAACCCTAGCATTTCAGCCCTAAACCATAAACCCTAAACCCAAGACCTCAAAACCTAGCCTTCAAACCCTAAACCCTAAACCCTAAACCCTAAACCCTAAAGAGTTGTTGTGTGCAGCATACATCCGGGAGACGCACGGCGCTGCTCAATGTCCGTCTATTGACCTCGACAGTTTTTTTATGGCTGTTGTCTCCTCTGCATGCATGCGGCAGCAAGACAATCAAAGATATATTAAAAACCTAACAATGAATCAGCTGCTACAAAGTAACAACTGCTGCTGCTGCTGCTGCTGCTGCTGTTATTGTTGTTGTTGTCGTTATTGTGGTTGCTGCTGCCGTTGGTTGCTGCGGCTTTGGTTGTTGTGTTGCTGCTGCTGCGATTGCTGTTGTTGCTGCTTCTGCTGCTGCTGCTTATAGTCGCTGTTGTGTGGCAGTGCTTGTGGGGCTGTTGCTGCGGTTGGAGCTGGTGCTGCTGTTGCGGCTGCTGCAGCAATGCTGCTGCTGCTATTGTTGCTACTGCTGCTCCTGCTGCTGCTGCTGTCGCTGCTGCTTCAACAGTGCTGTTTCTGCTGCTGCTAGAGCTGCTGCCACTGTTGTTGTTGCTGCTGCTGCTTCCAGAACTGCTGCCACTATTGCTGCTGCTGCTGCTGCTGCTGCTAGAGCTGCCCCACTGCTGCTACTGCTGCTGCTATAGCTGCTGCCACTGTTGCTGTTGCTGCTGCTGTTGCTGCTGCTGCAGGTCGTGATTTATCAGAGGAGGAGTGGCCGGCTGTCCGTTGGAGTGTAGAGGGTTTTCTCTCTGCTGCTGCAGCAGACTGGGGTCGCCTTAACAATATGCTGTTAGATTGCGAGAGCACCAAGCATTCAACAAGAAAGGAGATACAACTTCAAAAGTATTTAAACCCGCAAACCCTCACCTATCCACAGCATACACTTAGGGTTTAGGGTTTAATGTTTAGGGTTTAGGGTTTAGAGTTCAGGGTTTAGGGCTTCAAGCAAACAAAAAAATAGTATTAATAATAATATTTTATTATATAATATCATATAGAAAGCAGTTGGATACAGCAAATATAAAAACACAAATAAATAAATAAATAAATGCAAAACGAAAGAAATAATAAACAGAAAGATAAACAAACAAAATTAACAAAATGGATTAAGACAAAGGCAGAGAAAAACAGAGAAAAGAAGCCGCATGCATATCGTAGCTATAATAATAGTAATACCACAATAACAATAATATGAGTAATGTTAAGATAATATTAATATACGATTATATAATATCATAATATAATATTAATTATATAATTAGAATAATATCTTTGTGATAATAATCATGAAAGTAACAAGCCTTATTCATATATATATACACATATATAATACATATACATATGTATATATATATATATATATATATATGTACGTGTGTGAATATATAAGCATGCGTATATATATATATATATGCATACACATATATATATGTATATATATATATATATATATATTTTTGTATATATTTTGTGTGTTTGTTCAGGGCTGACTTACGGGAGCGCGTATTATTGTATTGCCATTACTTTGTTTATTTATCTTTTAGTAGTTTATCTTTATCTGGGGTGTCTGTACAGTCGGAGGTCTTCTATCACCGTCTACTGGGGGTTATATTTCGCTCACTTATTTCTTTTTCTGATGGCCTCGCTGCTATTCAATGCGAAGCTCTCGCAAAACATCATCTCTTACAGGCATTCAATATTGCTAAAGGTATTAATATACTTTATAAACATATATATATATTATATATGTTATATTTATATTTATATTTATATTTATATTTATATTGTATATATATTATTTATATAGTATTTATTTATACTATTCATTGGCTACAAGCATTCAATATTGCTAAAGGTATTAATATACTCTATTATATATATGCATATATATATATTGTTTATTTGTATATATTAATTATATATGTGTGTATGAATAATATATATACATACGTATATATATACATATATATATATATGTTTATACATTTACTACAGGCATTCAATACTGCTAAAGGTATGCACAGATATATATGCGTGTATGTATATATACACATACACATATACATATACATATATAAGAATTGTTTGTTTGATTGTATTGTTTACTGGTGCAGAGGGTCTACCAGCATACACTGCGCTGTTTATGGAGGCTGGGGCGAGCTTGGCTTTGTTTATGCATGATGAATTACAAGAAAAAGAAGAAGGACTTGCAGTGCTGCGCGAAACATTCAACAGAGCTGTGGGGTGTCTAGACACTGCAGCAGCAGCAGGAGCAGAAGAGGCAGAAGGAGCAGAAACTGCAGCAGAAGGAGGAGGGGAAGCAGCAAAAGCAGCAGCAGCAGCAGCAAAAGCAGCAAAAGCAGCTAAAGCAGCAGCAGCAAGGGGAGATGACAAAAGCTTTGCTGCTGCTACTAAAACTCTTAAAACTATTATTAAACTCCTCAGCTGGTGGTCTGCTAGTCCAAGGCATGTTCTTTTCTCCCCCTTGGCTGCGTAAACCCTTCAGAATAAACCCTAAACCCTAAACCCTCAACCCTCAACAAATTCTAAACCCTCGTCATCCTAAACCCTAAGCAAACCAGCACCAAACCCTAAACCCTTCTACGTACACCCTATACCCTCAGCAAACCCTACACCCTTCACACTAACTCTAGACCCTCAACCGAAACCCTAAACCCTTCAGCATAAACCCTAATCCATACCTAAACCCGTACTTAATTAACCCTTTATCAAACACTCAGCAACACAAGCAGTAGATTCTACCCATTGGCTCTGCTGCCGACTATCCCCTAAGCCCCTAACATTCCTAAACCCTAAACCCTAAAGCCTAAACCCTAAACACTCAGGAAGAGGCGGAAACTGCCCTTCCAGGGTTTGGGGTGAGGGGTTTCTTGCTGAAGATGCATCGGGGTTTACGATACTGTGGCTTATAAAGGCCTAGGGTTTAGGGTTTAGGGTTTAGGAGCAGCTCCTTGCAGTTTTAAAGGTATACTATTTTACTTTCTTTTGAAAGCGAATCGTCTGGTCCTAAACTCGGAGTCAAAAGAACTCCATTTTATCATCTCAACTCATCTTAGGGTTTAGCCTTTAGGGTTTAGGGTTTAGAGTCTACTATTTAGGGTTTAGGGTTTAGGTTTTGGGTGCGCATTGTCACGGGGAGCAGCGGTAGAGAGTCTGTGGGTGTCGTAAGAAACAGAAAAATATTATTTTGAGACAGTAATTTTATTAGGAAACGACGGCGGCAGGATTCGAACCTGCGCGGGCAGAGCCCAGTAGATTTCTAGTCTACCTCCTTAACCACTCGGACACACCGCCTTATCTTGATTTGCCTGTCTGCTTTTTATACCATATGCAGCGCATGCATGCATCTGCATGCATCTGCATGCATCTGCATGCATCTGCATGCATTCTTTGGAGTCTGTCTCTCTCGCACTCTTGGTGTTTCTCTCTATTAGGAATGGCTTTAGGTGTTTCTGCAGCAACAACAGCAGCCTCAAATAATATACGCATGCATGCAGCAACGCATGCATTCAATTTCGAGTAAAGAGGTGGTGGGGCTTTGGGGCTGTTATACTCGAGTTATTGTGTGGGGTGTTTTGTTTGATGTTCGGGTGTATGTACAGAGGCCTCCTTTGCATGAATTTTATCAAGGATAAATAGTAGAGGTTTGCAGGGAAGAAAAATGTTTATTTGTTTAATCTAACTGTCTCCTCTCTAGAGTGTTGTCTTTTCTTCGAAGTTGTAGTATATCAAATAATAGATGCATATAATAAACAGTTAATAGAAGCAAATATATATATTAACTGTATACATACATATATATATACGACGGCGGCAGGATTCGAACCTGCGCGGGCAGAGCCCAGTAGATTTCTAGTCTACCTCCTTAACCACTCGGACACACCGCCATGGGGCTTTGTTACTTTTCTTGTTTTTGTCTCTCGTATTTAAACTGTTGTCTCCTTTCAAATGCTTCTTTTCCTTTCTAATCTCTTCTCTCACTCTTTATTATTAAAGTGCAACACTTTGTTCTGCTTTTAAACACCTTCTTGCCTTCCCTGACGCCTATGCGAGAAAGAAGAGGAAAATTAAAAATCATATTGATAAGAGAGATGCATATCCAATAAGCAAAAAGGAGAAAACAGATAAATAAAAGCAAAGCTAGCGGTGTAAACGCCTGATTGAGGAGGCAAAGAAGGTCTTTATGCTTAAAGAATACGCACAAGTGAACGCATAAAGCAATAGTATATAAAGAAGAAAAAAACAAACAAAAAATAGGGGCTTTGCGTATGGCGGTGTGTCCGAGTGGTTAAGGAGGTAGACTAGAAATCTACTGGGCTCTGCCCGCGCAGGTTCGAATCCTGCCGCCGTCGTTTGTTACTCTTTTAATAATAGTTTTCTTTGTCTTCTCCTTATCTTTGTGTCTACTTCACAGTCTGTCTCTGTCTCTTTCTCCCTGCATGCATCTGTCTCCGTCTTGTCGCGCCACACAGTTTGAGCGTCTTCACTACTTTCTCTTTCTGTCTCCTTTTACCTTTCGTCTCTGTCGGCCTGTCTTTCTTTTTCTGCCTGGATACCCCAAGACCACAAGAAAAACAATAAAAAGAAGAGGTTAAAACAAATGCAGCAGCATTTTTTTTAACGCCGAGTCAGAAGGAAGAATGCCGATGTATTTATTAACTTCATTTTAGTTTAATTCTAAGTGCTGCATGCGTTGGTGTTATTAAATAAATATATTCTATGAGCCTACGTAAAGCCAACTGTAAGATAACTCCCTGTTGCCTGCTAGTGCCCATTCGTTCAGGTGTACAGGCACCTCTATCTTAAGCCCTCACATATAATTGTAACAACCGGCTTCCTCTGCTACATTTTTGTTTGTAATGTTTGATTTGTTGTCTGCATATGGGCTTCTATCCTTCTTGGGCAGCAGAAAAGAGACAGTAATCACCAGCCACTCGTTGTCTCTCTTTTATAATCAGTTATTGCATAAACATGAATAAAGTGAAGTATCCGTAGCAGAGTTTAGCTGCTGCCGCAGCAAAACTCTGCTGCTGCAGCAAAACTACGCTGCTGTTGCAGCAGATGTACTTTGCTGCAGCAGCTACGCTTTGCTGCTGCAACAGCTGCCGGGGGCTCGCGGTCCTGCAAAGGCAACCCCGCGGTGCTGCTGCTGCTGCTTGATAAAAGAACAGAGGCGAAAGAGAGAAAGAGATTAGGGCAATGCAAAAGAAGCAAAAAACAACAACACCCAGTTGACAGTTCATTTCATATAATTTCACTCGAGTCTATTTGATTGTTTTCAATCGAAATGCATATGCTTTACTATTTTTTTGCATTATCATGTTTTATTTTACTTAATTGTTTTCAGTACAAATGCATTTGCTTTACTGTACTTTGTATTATCTTATTTCAATCTATTTCAACCTCACTTCATTCTATTTTAATTCACCCCGATCTATATTCTACTAGTTTATTTCGTTTTATGTTTTGTTATATGTTTAATAATATACAACATAATTTTGCTTTATTTTCATATATTTTATATTATACATTGTATTTCCCTTTACTTATTGGTACTTAATCGATTAGGTCAGCGCAAACGTGAAGGAGAAAGACAGCAAAAAAAGTGAAGTTTTGAATCAAACTTCAATCAGAAGCCCCTATCAATCAGAAAAATTATCTTTACCCTCTCCCTCCCTCTAATTTTCTTCTTAATGAACAAATAGAAATAATAATACTAGTTGATAATTGATCGGTGTATGATGCTTAGCTAGCTTTGTATTATGGTTTTGTTGTTTTGATTATATAATATAAAATAACAGTTATAGAAATATTTCCACAATAAAATAAAGGTGAGAAATCATACAGCGCAGAGGCGCAGTGCTTAGCCAACAGGACTAAAAGCCAATGTATAAAGCACAAACCCTAAACCCTAGACCATAAGCCCTAAACCCTAATTCTTAAACCTTTTAAACAAGATCGCAAAATAAAAAATTCGGCGCACAAATAAGGCGGTGTGTCCGAGTGGTTAAGGAGGTAGACTAGAAATCTACTGGGCTCTGCCCGCGCAGGTTCGAATCCTGCCGCCGTCGTTATATTTAAATTAAAAAATAAGTAAATTGAATTCACTAAATGCTTGATATTATATTTATAAATTATCGAATATTCGTTTCTTATAATATTTCATATATATAAACCAATTAAACTCCCTCTTTTCCTCTTCATTTCCTTCAACACATCACCCACCACCGATCAAACACCTCTGCTGTCTTGGGTGGTGGGGGGGCTGTGCATGCATTTCCTTGATATTAAATGGGAAGAACCTAAAAAATGGATGACTAAATTGATAAAATAAAATTATTAAGTAAATCAATAACTTCATTGTTAATTAACTTCGATTTCTTTGATCACAAATAAGTTTAAATGCGACGGCGGCAGGATTCGAACCTGCGCGGGCAGAGCCCAGTAGATTTCTAGTCTACCTCCTTAACCACTCGGACACACCGCCTTACTTGCCGCAGCCTTCTCGCATATTTTTATTTTATTTAAAATCTTGTTGTTTATTCTTTATTTGCATGCAAAACATACTATTATTTGTTGAATTCTTTCTCCTTTCTTCCCTGTCTACGCTAGTAATCAACAAAAACAAAAAAGGCTGAGACCCCCGCATGGTGTATTATCTCTTCAGATTTGCTGCTTTGTCTGTCTGTACACCCTAGATATTTCTTCTTCTTTTCTGTTTTTATTCTCTTTAATTGCTGTCAGTTACTGTTTATTCACCTTAATACTGCGATCTCCTTCGAAGGAGCCGGCAGCAAAGGGCCCCCCTCCTCTTCTCTTTTCTGTGTCGGCAGCGGCTTCCTCCGTTGCTTTTGCTGCTGTTACTGCTGCTACTGCTGCTGCTGCTGCTGCTGAGTTGGAGATGCATCAGTCTGAGCTGCGTGAAAGGAAGCCATTGGGGCGCCAGGGGCTGCACACAGGGACGGCAGCAGCAGCGAACCGCAGCAGCAGCAGAAGCAGCAGCAGCAGCAACACAGAGGTGGATAAACACCAGCGAGGCAGAGACAGCTCGGATGCTGCAGCAGCAAATGATACAGAAGATGATATTCTCTTGTGCACAGAAACCGAATCCGAAAGCGAAATTCATCCAGAGACAGAGTTTGAACGGCGACTCCTAAGGCAGCCACCACCCCTACAAAAAGAGCGTATACCATTCTATGCGTTGCTGCTGGTAGGTTGTTCTTGCTGCTGCTGCAGCTCTTGATGCCATTGCTGCAGCTTCTGTTGTTGCTGTTGATGCACCTCATGCTGTTCCTGTTGATGCTGTTCCTGTTGATGCAGCTCCTGCAGCTTCTTTTGCTGATGCTGCTGCTGCTGCCACAGCTCCTGCTACTGCTATTGATGCTGCTGCTGCTGCAGCTCTTGCTGCTGCTATTGATACTGCTGATGCTTCTATTCGAGCTGCAGCTACAGCATCAGGATCAGCAGCACAATAGG